TACAGCCATTTAATGAATTTTATGTGACAGTCTTGCATCCCTCGAGCAAAATAAAAACGACCCTCACTCACTCAATCCATCTGTTGTTAGCAATTATGGAAAACACAAATTGCACACATGGCCTCCCCCCCGACTACACACACAGCTCAGAGAAACAAAGTATTTCTCTAGGGCGATCCTTCAGCTCCTAATAAGTGTGATTTTTCTGATTTTCTATTCTGAAACCACACATACAAGACACCTGTGGGAACTTTACATTGACCTTTACATTGATTTCCTGGAGGCTGACCCCAACCATAACTGCTACTTGCTACAAATTCGACTCCCTGGACTGTTATTCACTGCATCTTCTATGATTAGAGCCCTGTTTCCATGTTCTCCTCCTCATCAACCAGTTTCTCTGTCCAGGAGAAGAGCTTCTAGACAAACCACTGGAAATGTCAAGTTCGCCTGACGACTGTGAGTGCGATGCTTTTATTTCTGTGACCGCCTACTGTTCACATTTTTACTTACTGTCCTTACTTTCAGCTTGCAGCTGCTCTCCTCAGAAAACTGGTATGTCACTGACAAAGACACCGTATGCTTCATTTTACACCAGGCTGATACAAAGCAACATGTCTGACTTTAACACCCTATATAAGTTACTATACAGAACCTCAGTGGCAAGCCAGTAAATGTTGTGAGCTGAACTTTGACTTGAAGCAGCATTTAAATATGATGCTTAAAGGTTCAGTGTGTAAGATTTACTGACATTTAGTGGTGAAGTTGTATGTTGCAGCTGAATACCCCTCACCTCACCCTCCACTTCCAAATATGAAAGAGAACCTATAGCTTTCAGTTTTCATCAAAAGTCAAGGTGTTTAGTTTGTACAGTCCGGGCTACTGTAACAAACACGGCTGCCTCCGTAGAGAGGACCTGCTCCCTGTGTAAATATGTTAAAATAATAATAAGTTGAAATGAACTGGAAATACCCTGCTGCTCAAACTGGCTCAAAGCTCACATGAGTTAATACTCAGCAGGTGAATCTGGTGGTGCAGCATTGTGACTGCTCTGCTGAGCACAGGGATGAGGTGAGAGGAGAGAAGACACTGCCTTAATCTGAATTATATTGCTCAGTAGAAGTGTTCAAAATGAAATGAGACATGTTCACTTGATTTGTTTTTCCCTTTCCTGCGCTGTAATAAACTAACGGCAGAAAAAGATGTCAGAATTAGGCATATAATGTATTTAATAAATACTGTTTTTTTCAATCAGAGGAAAATTACAAGGGGAAATTAAGGATATAAAGACAGCCAGACATAATTCAGATGAGAATTACAAAACATGACATCATACATTAAAAATCAGCTCAAAAACACTTCACATAATCAGCCACAATCATGATGTGATATCCTGCTAAGAATATAAAGTCAAACAGTGTTCTGAATTCTCTGAGTGCTCAAATTTACCTGAGGATGTTTATTATCCAACCTAAATTTGAACGTTACTCATCAAGCCATGACTATTTAATGTTACAGAACAACACTTGCCAGGTTTCCAGAGGATTTAAACCCTCACTCCGTTCACAGAGACATATTTTATGCGGATCTCTAAGATTTTCTACGATGGCAGGCATCAGGAAAAAGATCCACGCCTGTATTTCCATTTTGGCAATGTCATCCTAATTCTCCGAGCGAAAGACAATCTGAGACATAGTTTGACACACAATGGCCAAGCCCTTCAATCCTCTTTAGGCAGCTTTGTTTTGCTCATTCGCTGTCTGATGGGAATTGTGTTTGTCAACGTTGGACCAGGAGCTCTAATCCCAGCCCCAACCCACGAAACCCTCACTCACAAAATCTCTTTATTAATCCCACTGCCTCGATTATCTACATGTTCTTCCTTCAATCTTGGAGCAGAATCGGTTTGTGTGTATCTGCATGTGTTAGAGATGGGGTCATGTCTGAAAGCCTCAGCAACAGACAACTATCCTCCAGCTATTCTTACTTGTTTTAACTCATATCTTATCTGCATTTATTATTTCACTTCTCTTGTCCTTTTCTTTTCTATTCAACTATTGACTGCTTCCATGTTCTTTCATCATCAGAAGTTACTTCCCCACTTATATTCCTCTGGTCTACTTTTCCCTTAGCCTCA